TATTAATTCGACGTTAATATCTGAATTTATACCTGTTTTTTGTTGAGTGGTAGCGATAACAATTTTATTATTATAACCTATCACTTGACCGATCTTAAGTTCCATATTACTCGGAGACATGTATAGTTCCGGCGCATAAACGTAGTCCACTTTGGATTGAGCGTACTGTAATACATCTTGAAAACGCTTTATAGACGATGGTATGTCAACTGGTGAATTAATGGCGTCCTCCACGTTTGTGACAAACTGTTTTTGCGCATCGAACGCCGTCCCAGTACCGATGATTCCCGTTCGTGTTTGCGATTGTGCACCGAGAATTGCCCATACATAAGTTCTTATCGATTCATTAAATCTTACAAATCCTGGGTTAGTAAAATTATTTTCCGTTTTATCATTAAGAAATTCATTCCAAGGGTCATCGTTCAGTTGTACAAATTTTTTAACAATATAAATAAACCCACTCTTAAAAATCATAATATCCCCTCTCCAATCGTTACTATAAAGTTCCCAGCCTTTATACCAATGACCGGATTTTAGATGATGATCATACATTCTTGCGTAAAGTTTGCTGTCCTGCCGCAACTTACCAAAATAAACTGGAAGTTTATTAAGTGTTTTATATACATAATCGCTTTCTTCTTTGACGGATATATTTTCCTCTGTGTAAGGAGCACCTAGACCATGGTTTGCTCCTTTAATACGCCAATCTTTACTCATAGAAACATTAAATTCCTGACAAATACGCTCATACGCAGACCTATCATTATTATTATTTGTGGAATTCCACGCTCGATCCTGCGGTAATGGAGCACTAATTTCTTTAAGTATACGTCTAATCTGATAATACACGTGAAATAATAAAACAGACTTATTCAGCATATATCCTGGGGCATTTACAGATACGCCACATCCCGTTGTGGCACACCATACGGCAAAGTTTAACTGATTCTGCCAAAATTGCATCGGTTTGTGAAACCAATCGTGGATCATTTTATCGCTAGTTGCCGTGACCCTGTACTTTTCAAAGATATCGTGGAATTTAACGAAAAAATCAGTACCATAGGAATTTACCATAATCGATAGATTAGTAATCTGTCTCGATTTCATATTTAAGTTATGATATAGTATCATTGTATATTTAATATGTATGTCACACTCCCGGGAATAACAAATGGTCAGTCTATTGAACTGCTTCATACTATCGATAACTCGGATGGTCAGCTCGAAGTCGCTCCATGCGATGTAACGTATTACCCGCTGTGGACCAATATAAGTGCTGCGAGAGGTAATAATAAGATAAGGTTAATTGAAAACGAATATATTAGAGGCTACACTATTATACCTGATGGGTATTACAGCGTATGCTCACTCAATGATGAATTTTTTAAGCCTCATAGAATTAGTCTCACACAAAATGAGTCGAATGGGACAGTGAAAATCAGCACTGGAGATCCAGGTGTACGGATTGAAATGAACTTATCAGCTACACTTGGATTTACACGCGGAATTATAATGATACACAGGACAACATCTGATGGAGATACATTACCCGATTTAGTTCCCTATAAGGAGTTGTGCATCCATCTTGTTCAAATAAGCACGACATATAATATTCAACTAGAAAGTCCTTCAACTCTGCTCAGAAGTGTTCCAGTTAAAGATGAAAAATACAATAGTGGTAGAACGGAATCTTTCTCAACATTACAATATAAAAAATTAAAGCGGGGTATTATTTCAGACCTCAAAATTTCTGTATTAGATGTAAAACACCAACCTGTACATATAGGATACTTAAGTGTAACACTCCATATTATAAATAATGGTTGATTCCATATTTAAGTATTGATATAGTATCATTGTATATTTAATATGTATGTTACACTCCCGGGAATAACAAATGGTCAGTCTATTCAACTGCTTCATACTATCGATAACTCGGATGGACAACTCGAAGTCGCTCTATGCGATGTAACGTATTACCCACGGTGGACCAATATAAATGCTGTGAGAGGTAATAATAAGATATGGATATTAGGTAAAAACTTTAGTATTGTTGAACCCAAATTTATACCTGATGGGTATTACAGCGTTTGCTCAGAGTTGTGCATCCATCTTGATCAGATCAGTACGACGGATAATATTCAACAAGAAAGTCCTTCAACTCTGCTCAGATCTGTTCCAGTTAAAGATGAAAAAATTGCAGAACGGAATCTTTCTCACCATTACAATATAAAAAATTAAAGCAGGGTATTATTTCAGACCCTAAAATTTCTGTATTAGATGTAAAACACCAACCTGTACATATAGGATACTTAAGTGTAACACTCCATATTAAAAATAATGGTTGATGCATCAGGCCCAGGAACGCTCAGACAATGTAATACAATTGCGCTTTCCGATCTCGGAGACACGGAAGAATTTGATAAACCCGGTTACAGTGGTAAGTTATATGCTTTACACTTACACGATAATGTATACAATCGGAAAGAAGTTACATTCACTGGTAATCTAGAAGATTTAAGCGATGTCGACGTTAGTAGACTCATTAAAAACACTTCGTACAATATTATTCTCAACGGCGAGAATAAATGGACTATGGTTGAAGCAAACATCGAGTGGCTACTGAATATCGTCATTACCCCACCGTATGTGATGATGGGTAAGGGACATAATTTAACTAAGATAATAAATAGTGGCATCGTACTCGCGGCTTATATCCCATCAAAACGAAAAAGTGTGTTAGTCACTCCCCTGCCAGAAAACCCAGGTCATATGTTATATAGTCGTCCGGCAATCCAAAACGTTAGTTTACATTTGGTTACTGAATTCGATGATATTAAACAGAACTTGAGTGCAATACCTAATATTTCTACGCTTATTATTGAAGTCTTGTTCGGAGATGCACCGGAAAATGCCTTCGAAATATTACCAGGTCTATCGATTAAATGGCTAAAGAAACACCAATGTCGACGTTGCAGTATTATTCATATCGGAGCATCACCCGTTGCAACCCTCGAGGGGGTCCAAATTATTAAAAGTGACAGCATTTCTCTTTCTAAGATATTCTTGCCGTATAATATACATTTGATAAGGTTGATGTATAGTCTCAAAACATTTAAGCAAGACCAATTAAAGACTATTATATGATCGTAATATACACTATGAGTTTATATCCAGCGCTCGATGAAGCATTTGAAAAGATGGATACTGTTGATGGATTTCGATTACATCAAATAAGCGACATAAAACATCGAATAGAGAAGGATAGGGAGTTGAGACTTGGATTGTATAAAAAGTATCGCAGAGCCGTGAATGCTCTGGACGGAGTTGACACCGCGCTTTTAGTATCTGGCATGGGACTCGGTGTAGCCGGTGTCGGTTTACTATCAACTATAATCGCCGCGCCTATCGTGCTCGGTATGGAAATAGCCGCTTGAGTCTCGGGACTGGCAGGAATATCGATAAAATTTATTCCTCGTAGGTTACAAAAGAAAGCATTAAAACACGATAGTATTCGGATACTCGCCGAAGCAAAGTTGAACAGCATTGAGGATCATATTTCGACAGCAATGGTCGATTGTAAGATATCCGAGGATGAGTTTCGTTTAGTGCTGTCGGAACTCACCAAATACAACGAAATGAAGCAGGAGATTGGATCAAAATCTCGTAAGACCAGTGGTATTAGCGAAGACGAGAAAAAAAAGTTCATAGAACAGGGGAGGCAACAAGCGCGTCAATTATTCCGTGCCAAAACCAAAGAACTGGTTGGAGATTAAAAATAGATTGCTTACTATCGTTTGATCACATTTAGACAAATGCTTACATACATATATATAATAATGGAGATCGAAAAAGCTATTAAATGAAGAGAATTACCACAAGGTTTTTATTATATCAGTGATGTCAAACCAACCAAATACGGTTATCAATTGTTTCTTATCAATTTACAAGAAGAGTGTAGTTATATAGTCTGGTCTCCTAGTAAAATGAACGAAGAACTTAATAAAAATGTTGAATATCGCTTTATCGATAAAAATAATGAAGAATATTTTTATTACCATTTAGGCTCATCTAAAGCAATGATTGGCACCAGGTATTGGTGAGCTAGAGCCAATTTAACTTAATCTCATGACTATCATTGAATCGCATAATCATTTTGGCATAAAAAATGCCACCTGTAGTAGCAGTATAGGTATATGAATCTGGCTCCAGTGGAGTTGTGGCAGAACCCCCATTACCTATACTACTGAAATACATTTTCAAATAAATGTGTGAAGTATTGCTTTCTGTTTCTGTTTATTATTATTTTGTCATTATTGCTGTTCAAACAGGATTGATGTTGTACTGATTACATGAAGTATGGCTTATGCAAACACAGTAATAAAAAGTCATTTGGCAAAAGGAATAGAAATCATGAGTAAATTCAATAAGAGCTCTTCTATAGCCTAATAGTAATTATATAACTAGGATGTGAGAGAAACAATTTGTCCTTCCTGATTTTCACTCGTACTACAGTAGTCTTGGGACTAACAGACAAGTGGCTGTGTCTAACCCTGGGTAGTTTTGACTTTGAAATCCATGTCTCTTTTGATGCGTGGTTAGTTGTCACATGCTCCCCTCATCACCCCAATCATTTCACATCTACAAGTTGAAGTTTCTCCTTTCACCTTTGGTACATCACGTGTTGTATTTGTCTGCTGCAGTTGAGTCTGAGCTGACTAACATCTACTTCTTGTACCCTTGTCAGCCAACTCCACTTGGACTTCCCTTATCTAGGTTTACATCACAATCTGCCTTATTCAAATTAAATACTGTTGGGCATTTGGACTCCCTTTTACACATGTAAGTGTAAGGTCAGATGCCAGCTAGCTGTTGATTGGCCCTTTGATCTTTTTCTCATAGCTTCCATTCTCACCTGCCCTCTACAAGCACTTTGCTTGACTGATAATCGGTACATGTCAGGTTTATGTAGAAACAAACATGCTTTTTGTTCATTTCAGACATCAAGCCTGGTCACATTCCCGGTTCAATAAACATACCCTTTATGGATGTGCTTGATCCTGACAAGAAGACCATGAAGACTGCGACTGAACTGAAGCAGTTGTTTGCCTCTGCAAACGTAGACCTTTCAGAACCTGTGACTGTGTCCTGTGGATCTGGTAACTCCTGTTGTTGCTTTAGTGTTTAGAGGTCGCCTTCTGCCTTAGCAATTTCGCTGACCTGTCCCTCTTTGGGACTCGTGTGTGTGAGTAGGGTACACATATCTATTGTGAGTTTGGTATTCACATAATTTCTGTTTTTGTATTGATATGATTTCTAATTTCGTATATTGATATAATTTTATTTTTATCTTTGCCTGCTCTTTTTATATACGTTTGAGCAGCTGTCCATCTCTCAGAAATAGAGTTAGTTTGGCCTTCGCTATTGCATCTCTTGGCTTTAGGAGATCTATGACAGATAGCAAATCTAACTGCAATTCTTGTTTTAACCAATACCGGGCTGGGGCGTGGTCTTGACATTCCAGTAACGTGACCAATGGATTCAGGTTGATTGCAAGATGGACCAACCTTGTCATAGTGCTTTTTGTGACCGAGTCTGAGATGTGAGATGGCAATTTCAACTTTCCTTTCATTTGAGTATGAGTTTGGCTTTTGTTGGATCTTGGGTTGAATTTTGCGTCCCACTGGGCTTGCCATATTTGGGCTATAGAGGCTTGGATTTTTCTTATTATTTCTAGTTTACTGAAGGGAATAGGCTGTATCTCCACTTCGTCTAGCTTTGCCAGTGTGTCTGTTTTTTCATTTCCATGAATATCTATGTGAGACGGGATCCAAACAGCTCCACCTGTTGACCTTGGTCCGATAGTTTTGTATATTCGTATAGAATATTATTGACTGTGTTTGGCCTGGAGTTTGAGTTTCTGTCGCTGATGGTTTGAAGTGCACTAAGCAAGTCTGATAGGACGACTGTCTTTGCTTCCGGTAGTTCCGTTATGAGTTTGAGTGCATGATGAATTGGCTCCAATTCAGCTGTGAATACTGACTGACCACCCGGCAGACAAACCGAATGTGCTTGGGGTTTGGAGCTGTGGATATGGATCCCGTAACCAGCACTGTTGTTGATAGGATTCTTGGATCCATCTGTGTATGTATGGGCCCAGCTGTCCCAGGTAGTTTGAATTTTAGTGATAGCTACTGATCGTAGTAGGGTTGGGTTCTCTTTTTTAGTGACTTCTGATGTTAAAGCAGTGTCAACTTTGGGAGTTTTTAAAGTCCAGGAAGGGTGTAACCCTTTGTAGTGACTTTCTGGTGGCTGAATGTCATCACAATTGTGACATCCTATGAGTTCATATACTAATATACCAGAAGACTTTAGTGAGGGATTTTTTCAAGTTCGAGCTTCATCTCGAGTGTTTTTGTCTTGCCATATCTTTTTAACCAAAGGGTTTGATGTTCGTCCCCAGAACAATAATATTGCCTGCTCTCTTCTTAGTTTCAATGGGAGTTCTCCCGTTTCTACTTGTAGTGCTTCTAGTGAGGTGCCTGTTGCTGCTCCTGTGAGTTAAGTGAGTTAAAATTTAACTTCGCATCAGCATTTTTTCAGCCAATAGCGCGCTGCGCCTGTGGCCAGCATTTGGGCGTTGTTTTCTGTCGATGCTGCTCAAGACAATATTTAGTGCTTAGTGGAAGGCCTTACAACCATATCTGATAAGTGATTTGTAGAGGTCCAGCTGAGTGTCCCTTGATGTGCCCCAAGATGTGCCTGAAATTGTCTGTAATACGTTCAGGTCTTTTTGACATCTGTTTTCCACAGAATCTGGTAATGTTCTGTAACTCATAATGTATTGCCCCTACATCTGTCAGTGTGACCCGTCTTACCTAACCATTGCCCCTACATATGTCAGTGTGACTGGCCTTACTTAACCATTGCCCCTACATCTGTCAGTGTGACTGGTCATACTTAACCATTGCACCTACATCTGTCAGTGTGACTGGTCTTACTTAACCATTGCCCCTACATCTGTCAGTGTGACTGGTCATACTTAACCATTGCCCCTACATCTGTCAGTGTGACTGGTCTTACTTAACCATTGCCCCTACATCTGTCAGTGTGACTGGTCATACTTAACCATTGCCCCTACATCTGTCAGTGTGACTGGTCTTACTTAACCATTGCCCCTACATCTGTCAGTGTGACTGGTCTTACTTAACCATTGCACCTACATCTGTCAGTGTGACTGGTCATACTTAACCATTGCACCTACATCTGTCAGTGTGACTGGTCTTACTTAACCATTGCCCCTACATCTGTCAGTGTGACTGGTCATACTTAACCATTGCCCCTACATCTGTCAGTGTGACTGGTCATACTTAACCATTGCACCTACATCTGTCAGTGTGACTGGTCTTACTTAACCATTGCACCTACATCTGTCAGTGTGACTGGTCTTACTTAACCATTGCACCTACATCTGTCAGTGTGACTGGTCATACTTAACCATTGCACCTACATCTGTCAGTGTGACTGGTCATACTTAACCATTGCACCTACATCTGTCAGTGTGACTGGTCTTACTTAACCATTGCCCCTACATCTGTCAGTGTGACTGGTCATACTTAACCGTTGCCCCTACATCTGTCAGTGTGACTGGTCTTACTTAACCATTGCACCTACATCTGTCAGTGTGACTGGTCTTACTTAACCATTGCACCTACATCTGTCAGTGTGACTGGTCATACTTAACCATTGCACCTACATCTGTCAGTGTGACTGGTCTTACTTAACCATTGCACCTACATCTGTCAGTGTGACTGGTCTTACTTAACCATTGCACCTACATCTGTCAGTGTGACTGGTCTTACTTAACCATTGCACCTACATCTGTCAGTGTGACTGGTCATACTTAACCATTGCACCTACATCTGTCAGTGTGACTGGTCTTACTTAACCATTGCCCCTACATCTGTCAGTGTGACTGGTCATACTTAACCATTGCACCTACATCTGTCAGTGTGACTGGTCTTACTTAACCATTGCACCTACATCTGTCAGTGTGACTGGTCTTACTTAACCATTGCACCTACATCTGTCAGTGTGACTGGTCATACTTAACCATTGCCCCTACATCTGTCAGTGTGACTGGTCATACTTAACCATTGCACCTACATCTGTCAGTGTGACTGGTCATACTTAACCATTGCACCTACATCTGTCAGTGTGACTGGTCTTACTTAACCATTGCCCCTGGTCTTACAAAATCTATTTAAAGTTTCTTGTTTGATTTAACACAAATGTATATTGTTTGTTGCAATATCTTAAATTTATATACTTATACTGCATTACGCCTTAATGCGTCTACTGCTTACCTTACGACAAAGAAAGATGGCGCTTCACGTTGGTCCTGGGTGAAGAAACATGTTGGACCAATTACTGCTGTCATTTGACAGATCGTGACGTCACAACCAATTCACATTCCTGCTCGTCGTGTTACTGGAAGTTGTGCTACGTTTGGTCCTCCAATTTTTGGCTTAATTTTTGTAGCGTTCTGCTACCACGTAAAATGTCATCTTTGATGTGTGATGTATTACTCTTCATATTACGTTCACCTTAATGTGTGTTAATATGTAGGTATTTTCAATGTGAAAGGACTTTGTCTTTTTCCTGCCACGTGGCTAGTTGTGTCCACCATTTTGAATTTGCTTTAGATTGTTAACCTCCGTGTGGGGTAGTTATTATTGTTTGTGATTCTCGGCTAGGTATTAACATTTCATGTATATTTAAGTATCTTTTCACACTTGTATTTTGAAACTTGTAAATGTTTGTAAATGTTAAAACTTTGAGTTTATCATCGGTATGTACAAGTCAACTTCAACTACAATTTCAAGTTTAGCTTAACTTTCTCGTGGCAAGAAATCTTCTAAAGATCTTCTTCCATGTTGCTTGGACTGCACTCAAGTATGCGCTCCAGATTTCAAATGTAATTTTTGCCAAACCTCTCTCTCCATTGAGTTTCTCCATTTCTAGACAGGTTACTCACAAAAGTATTTTACAGCAGTCCTAATCAAAATCTGCTATCTGACTTCAGTAGTCCATTACACAGCTCCTGGTTCTGCTCACCTGACGACCAAGGGTTGGTGGCACTTGCACCTGATCCAACAGTTCTGTGCAACCTACATCAGAGAGCTTGTCATTTCACCTCAGGACTCACCTCATTTGGTGGACGATCGAGTCAAATATTTTAGGAGGTGTGTCAGAATGTGCTGGCAGACGCCCTATCCAGGCCAGAGAGAGTGTCGCCCACAGAGTGGAAGGTCCACCCAGAGGCATTGCATCTTGTATGTCAGAGCCTAGGTCAACCCTACATCGTCACAACTGCCAGATCCAATCGTAACATCTCTCCTGTACTGGATCCGCAGGTATGGGCGGTTGTTGCACTTAGCATTCCTTTGGTGGAGTTAAGAGCGTACACTATCCACCCCAGGGCCCCGTTCCTCAAAGCGATCTTAGCACTAAGGTGATCGTAAGTCCCATACTTTAAAATAGGCTTACGATCATCGTAGCGCTAAGATCGCTTTGAGGAACGGGGCCCAGTACTTCTTCCCAAGGTGATACAAAATATAAGGGCAAACAGTAGCCTTGCTCTGATTTTGATCGCGCCTTGGTGGCTAGCGATAGGGTGTTTTGTGGACCTAAAAAACCTTCAGGAAGCGATCCACTACCTCTGCCAGGGTGGCCCAACCTGCTAGTACATTCACACAGCATGCGACTACACCCCACGCCAGGCAGGTTTCATCGGCACCACCTGGTTCATTTACAAAGAGAAAGGCTATGTGGCATGAGCGGCTAAGGCCATTGCTATGGCACATAGGCCTTTGAATTGAGCCATTTGTGATGATAAGTGACTATCATTTGAGACCTATTGTAAAGAAAAGGCTCAAGATCCCACTATAACCTCGCCTCAATTCTTGGCCAAGTACCGGAACTGCAAGCTCTATTACTCCTTTAGGCTTGACGATAAGTAGGTCAATCTTCATTCCCTTGAGTGGGATCTGAATGTGGTACTTCAATGGTTGTGGGGAACTCCGTTCGAGCCACTCCACGCAACATTGCTTTTCAACCTCACCAAGATGACAATATTTTCTCTTGGCACTACCCACGG